TACAAAGCCAGGCTAGTTCCTGGTCATTTCTTTTGCTTGGATAAAACAGAATCTAGGATTCTTCTAAGCTTGCTTGATTTGAGGGTAATTTTGATTGTCAGTTTAACTGGATTGAAGGATGCATTGGGAAATAAGAAAGATGTTTTGAGGGCATCTCAGGTATGCACAAGGCTACACCCATTACAGGCTTAGAAATGTAGAATAAAATTTTAAGAGACTTTCTAGGGCAGAGCCTTTTGAGAAGAGATTAAGGAGGTCAACCCTCTGGCCTCAAATGGTCTGGGTCAATATTTCCTGTGTCTACAAGCCACTCAATTTTACACTAGCAGTAGATCTTTGTATTATCCATAAGATGCTGGTTTTGCATAATATACAGACTACAGAATTGTGGGGTCATGGAGGCTTCCACCCAGATTTCACAGGAAGCCATGTCTTGTGTGGCAGGATCGGAGTCCCTATCAGCCCCTGGAAATGCAATGTTTGGAGCTGTGAAAGTGAAGCTAAAAGTTCAGCAGAGATTCCAGGAAGTCAGAGATGCCAGGAATCCTGGACAGCTGCTGAGGGAAACTGAGGGCAGCAAGCACAGCCAGCCAGGAGAGTGAGGAAGCAGGAGTGCTGCAACCAGCAGGGCTATGGGGTGGTGGAGGAGGCTGCCCAAGTGCTCAAGAGCCCACATCTCACCACAGTGTGTCCCAGACACAGCTGCAGTGCTTTGGTCTGATCCCTCTCTGCTATTTCCTGTCCCTTTCTTTTAGAAGGGGAGTGTTTGCCTTGTGCCTGTTCCACCACTGTATGCTGAAAGTACTGAATTTGTACTTTTTTTTTTCTTATAGGGGCTTACAATAAATAGCAAGAGTTTGCCTTGAGAAGAGACTTTGAACTTGGACTTTTGAGCAATACTGAAGGAGTTAAGAGTTTGAAAGGACTCTTGGAGGTGCCCTTAATGCATTTTGCTTTGTTAGATAGGCGTGAATCTCTGGGAACCAGAAATAGAATGCTGCAGTTTGTATCCTGGAGGTGGGTCCTCATGGGAGGTCTTCAGGTCATAGGGACTGTGCCACTGAAGGAGACAGTGGGACCCCAATTCCTTCCTCTTTTCTTTTGCATCCTGACGTTGAGATCGATGCCTTTGTTCTGCCATATGCAAACCCATGATAGGCCACCACAGGTCCAAAGCAATAAGTCATGGGCAGAACCAACAAATTCATGAGCCACGATAAACCCTTCCTCTTTATAAGCTACCTCAAGTGTGGTAGTAACAGAAAGCCCATATTCTTCCTGTTGTGCTTGATCTAAGGAGAGACCCCAGAAATCGTTAGTTGTAGCTCTTACATACCACAAATGATAATGCAAAGGTTCTGCCTATTTTTTCCTTAAGCCAGGTGCACTTAACAAATTAACAACTTAAGTATCCCCTTGTTGTGTAGAAATGAGCCAAAGAGTCAGGTAAAGTGCTATTAACAAAACCACATCAAAACAGTTATGCTTTTCAGGGTTTTAAGGCTGACCCAGCCCTTGGCTTCACGGTGGACTGAAAAAGTGGTAAAGAGAGCTCACGCCATCATTGTTTGAAGATTTTCCACATAAAGACTACATCAAGCTCCTTGCTTATAAACCACAGAATTGAAACCACCCAGGCTATTGTCCAGGCTGATATCTTTTTCCCGGAGGTTGGCTGCAGTGGGACCATACACACATCTGACGAGCTGATAATTTCCATCCTGTGCGCTGCAAACAACTCGTTTTGGCAAGAGCTACAGAAAACAAGCTCACTGGCTAACACGTTTGGAGCAAACACTAGGACACCAGAATCCTTCAGTGCCTTTTAGCTCTGAGGAGGAGACAGAGGAGCTCAGACAGCTGCCACATTCGTGGTGCAAACTGCAGGGCCAGGAAGAAATGGAGTGAACTTCCCTGCTTTCTTCCTCAGGTGAGAAAATCTTATTTACAGGATCTGGAATGTCACTACTTACGTGGCCACTCAACTTACCCCTTAGCTCTGCCACCCCTCCGCATGGATCAGACCACCTCATCTGCATACGGAGTTGTCACACTGCCAGCACAGGGAAGTCCCTCATGCACAGCACCTGTGTTTTACTAGAAACCTAAAATCTGGTAATAAAAGCAACCACCCGGCTCTCTGCTGGGCGCAGCCTCTTTGTTCAGAAATAGCACAGGGGCCGTGGGCTCTGCCCACAGATCAGTGTTTCTGGCAGAAAAGCAACTTCTGAAATCCCTCTCAATGACATGAACGTTGCCTTGGAGAGGAATTGAAAGCAGAAGGGAGGCGACATTGAGGAATCAGAACCACGCTGGGAATGGAGGTACATGCCTGTGATCCCAGCACTCTTCGAGACTGAGGCAGAAGGACTGAAAGGTTGTGCCAAGCAAAATAAAATGATAAAAACAAGGACTGGGGATGTAGCTCACTGTGAGTGACCAAAGTTTAATCCCAGTACAGAGCAGTCCTGGGTCAGGAGCCCACAACAAAGTCTTTTTCTCAAAGGCATAGGCCGGGGAAAAGCATCACCATTCTGGAAGCCCAAGCCTCCAAGGGCTGCCATGTCCCTCGAGTCCAGAAGGAGTAGCAGACAGGATGCAGCTGGCTGCTCTTTTAGCTTCGAGGACGACGAAGCCACAGTTGATACTTGGGCTTCCCAGCCTGCTGGGTTCCAGAAATCCCAAGACGTGGGCTTTCCTTCCTCTCTTCTGATGTTACAAATTTAGAAATCAAGGCAGTTCCTGGGGGTGGGGTGGGGACTCTGAAGTCCATAGGGACACTGAAAACAAGGAGAGGAGTTTCCAGGTCCTTTCCAGCACTTCCCTGACGTAGAGGAAGGGAAAAGAGAGGGCTGGGACTGCCACCCTGAGCTAAAAGGGGAAAATCAGAACAAGGGTGGTGGCAGTAAAGGTTAGGGTTTTCCTTTGCTTCTTTGTTTTTCACAGCAGCAGCCATGGAACCCATAGTTGGCTTCCCTCTCCTTCGTGATTGGGCCTGAAGTACAGAAAGGAAGTCAGAGGGGATCCCCAAAGCTCGTTCTTATCTGTGCGCTTCTACCTCTTCCCTACACACGTCCATCCCAGGTGTGACAAATGCAGACACCATGCAGAATGCAGAGGCCAGATGAGGGGAGCACAGGAAAGGTCACATTTACAGCCTAGTGCTGGGGTGTGGCTCAGCCAGGCCTGGAGCTGGCTCCCCACTTCTAGCTTGGGGCCCTGTGCATGACAGCCTACTTTGCACTGTGTCTAGGACAGGCCACTCACCCTCAGCTGATGTCCCCTGGGTCCCCTCATGCACCAGGTACAAGCAGAGGCTGCCAGATCCTTCTGAGGCATCTGCATGTGGCTGCTTCCACCTAGGGGTGGGGACTCTGAGACTTAGGCTTCACAGGTTAGGAAGCAGCACTACCTAAAAACACCCCTGGAAAACTCAGTGAGTTAGACCAAGCATTAGACTCAAATCCAGGTTTGAAGCCTGAGTCCGGTGCAGTTTCTACTGCTCCACTAAGCTGAAGAACTCTTTGCAGTACTCTCTTTATCAAGCTGTTTTACATGGTAGATTATATTTTACTGTTTTATTACACTTTGGCAACAAATGAAACTTTCCCTTCCTTTCTTCCTTCTTCCCTCCCTTTCACAAAAACATTCTACCCTTCAGCCTCAGTTTCTGTTCTTTTATTGAGAATCAGTTATTTCCCCTCAATTTTGACCTTCCCAGTCCCCAAAAGGACAGTGCTAACTTGAGAAGTGTCACAACTCTGAAGTCAGGCACATTCTGTGGCCTATTGCTGCCGGTGGATGTTAGTGCCGAGGGGACATTACACAGGGTCTGGCTTCATGCCCTCTCTTTGCAGGTGAGAAGAGTAGACTCAGAAAGAATGATTTTTCCAAAGGTCACACAGATGGCGAGGAGTGTATCTCTGACTTGTGTCCTTGAGCTGGTTCTGCTGTCCTGGGCCAGCTTTGTGCGGCTGTCATGGCCCTTGCACCTTCAGAGGACACTAGAAGAAGGGGTGAGTGTGAGTGTCTCTACAGTGAGCTCTGAGGGCTGAGAGTACAGATAGGACATGGGGAGACCACTCCCTTATCTTACACTGAACCTTCCAAAGATGTAGAGTCTCCCTAGGGCCATCTTGGACGGGCTTGGGAAATGCCTACCAGAGCTTCTTTCTTCCATTAGACACCTACAAAGGACATTAGTGTGGAAAACACTAGAATGATCCGACCTTCATCCCACTCCGGTCTAGTGTAGGTACCACTGCAGACAGAGATGATAGGTTCAGAGAAGAGAGGGTCTGGGTAGACCTGCTGGGAATTTCCTCCTTCATGAGGAGATTTCAAATGCCCATTTCCAATGGAATTATTTCTATTCATGGACAAGTTAAGTTTAGTCCTTTTCAGGGTTAAAGTCTCACATTCCCAACCAGAACTATTTTAGGTCCTCCTGATACAAACTCACCTTAGAACACTACAGTTTTCCAACATTCCACAAGGTCCCACCCGTGCGTGACTGGAATATGAAGCAGCCGAAGAATGCCAGAGGTGTGGGTCGCCAAGGGGTTCCTATGCAGGGAGGTCTAGTATGGCATCCACCAGTGGCTGGGATCGCTCCTCTGCAGGTGAGGAGGTCTATGTTGGATGGCAAAGACAGAGGCCCGGAGGATCAGAGGTACAGCAGAGAGAGTCAGGACTGGGGTGAGAATGAGAGTCCATCTTCCCCACCACTGGGTACCACTGGCAGAGTCTGAGAGAGAAAGATGCCCTTCATGCCTGTTGGGCGACAGGGAGGAGCAGAGGTTCCCACTTATCAGCTGGAGGAGAGCCAGTGGCAGCGTTGGTGATTGCAGAATGAGGTTGTGCCTCCCACAGGACAGGATGGCAGAGACTTGGTCCAGGTGTCATTAATATTCCTGAGCCACAACAAATGCGCATCATAAGCCCTTATGTTCTCTGGAGAATCCCACTAAACAGCATCAAGTATCTGATGAGAACACCAATGAATGCATAATCATTTATTGTAAATCATTCAGACTTTATACACTATTAATGGCAAAATTAACACTGTTAAACATCTGCTGAATGAAAAAGTTCATTATGACAATTTCTAATTAGCATCATTTCTTTTCCTAAAATGTAAATTTTAAATCCTACATCTTTCCACAAAGTATCTATCTTCAAAGAACTTTGATACCCACACTATAAAGCCTCACTTTTGCCCTAACACCTAATAAAAGGTCACGCTGTCCTATTAATTCAGTGTGTGCTTTACAAGACAACTGAACACACGGAAATTGTTTTAATCCAGATGCTACATAATGATCACTTTCTATTTTGCTGCAAAATCAATGATGGCTACACACAGATAAAACATTAGTAGATGGAGCTCTAGATAACTGTCAGTTATTAAGACCTGATAGCCTCATGTGGAAAATTAATACATTTATTCAGTAGAAGCAGCCGAAGCACATGCATCGATGGCTGCGATCAATTAGAATACAAATCAGGTGTCTAAACATTTGAATGAGAGCTTAATTTAAGCTTAACTTGATGGCTGGCATGTCTGAGTTATACACCTTTGAAACAACAATAGCATAGAGAACAAAATCAAACACGTAAACAGGTATTGATTTGCAGGGTGGGCTGAGTGTATGGTTAGGGTTATAAAAATAGCTGGGAAGGGAAAGAAGGTAGAACATTGGTAAGATGCAAACAGGGCAAAAAAATTTACAAGAACTGTTTCTCATACCCTCACTTTTTAAGATTTTCAGTTCTCTCGCTTAAACCAAAAACCAAACAGACACAGTAATTACAAACCAGGAATATTTTCCAGTATCTCTGGTTTCCCCACTTTTGTCTTCTACCCTGTCTCTCTATTCCTTGATGTGCATTTAAAGCGACTCTGGATTATTTGGCAGAAAATAAAAATAAATGCTTCCTGGATCACACTGAGGAGTTTAATCCATCCCACCAGGGTGAGCATCATGTACAATCACATAATAATGTACGTTTGACATCCTGTAGCTATAGTGGCAAAATCACATTACATTCTAATGTTAAATCATAGTAGCAATATTGACCTAAAATTAGTTTTTTCATTGATAGTCGCAGTTGACATTATTTTGAGAAAAAATACAAAATTTCCTAACCACATGCAACCCATTTCCCTTCTTCCCCAGCTTCAACCCTCTCCTATGGTTCCATGAGTGAGAGAAATGTACTGACAGAAGCCACAGGCGGGGGTCTCATTGTGGACGATGGTGGTCATAGTCCCAGCTTCAGGCAGTGCCATCCCCAGTCTTGGCCTTGCGGGCCTCGATCATGGGTTTAGTCGCCCGTTTCCGGTCAGTGGCCAGCCCCAGCAAGCACATGAAGTCAATGAACCACGTGGTCGGGTTGAAATTCAAGCCGAGTTCACTGGCCGAGTAGTCGAAGGGAAAGGTGTGATGGTAATTGTGGAAGCCTTCACCTGGAACACAAAGTGGCACTGACACAGTTCCGTCACCACCTCCCTCACCTGCACAGATTCTATCACTTGTTTTTTGAGGGTCGACCATTTGTCCAAGACTGCGAAGAGCAAAAGACTTGGCTCCAGCCCTCAGAAGCAATTCCTCAGCTGGCCAACAAATTAAATATGAACAGAAAAACAACATGGCCCCTGGGTTAAGCCTCCCACAGGAATGGCAGACTGCATGATACCCACTGGAGCTCTACATGCCATGTGGCTGGTAAGAAATCATCTCCATAACGTGTGTTCTGGTAGGAAACCAGTCCCTGCAGACTAGAGTGATGACAGGAAGACTTCTTGGGGGAGTGTGGGAGGGAGAGATGAGAATTATTCATACAGGTAAGTATGAGGCATGATCAAAACAGTCAGTGAATGTTTAAATTTTTATAAATTATGGAAAGGCACACTGCTACGAATCCCCCTCAAAATACCTCCCCTCCTATCAAGCAAACTTTCCTGTCACTTTTGGCACTTTCTGAAGCAGTTCTACAAGACCTCTTTCATGTCTTCATGAGGAATAATCAAAAATACAGGGAATGCTGCTGCTGAGTGTCATCCAACAGAAAGGTGGGCTCGTAATCATCTCCTCATCTGCCGTCTTCACCAGATACGGCAGCATGCGACCTCTGGCTCTTCTCAAAAGTCATGAAAGGTAAACTTTTTTCTTTTTTTTGGTCTTTTTGAGATGCACTCTCTCTGTGCAGTTCACTGCTGACCCTGAGCTCACTTTGCACCCCTGGCTGGTCTCAAACTCACAAGGAGCCTCCTGACTCAGCCTCCCAAGTGCTGGCATTACAAGTGTGCACCACACACCCAGCTGAAAGGCAAATATTTTGAAGCGATTCAGGACATTAAGACAGCCACAGCAGTGTAACTAAAAACATGAATAAAGACTTCCAGAACTGCTTCCAAAAGAATGAGGGGAGAAGCGTGTTTGAAACAAAAGGTAGTATGGGGGAGGAGGATTAATGATGTCTTTTATTGTAGTACAACTAAACATAAAATAAAAATCATCACTCGTATTTTTATTACACTGTGTATTCCCATGAAGTAAACACTGCTGCTTTCCATCTAGCAGATAAAAAACTAAATCAGAGCAACCATAAGACTTATCCAAGAGCCAAGATTCCGGAGTCAAAACTCAAGTTTGCTTCCTTCCACTCTGGCCTTTACAGATCCTATAAGCCATTCAGAAGTCAATAAAATCAGGGCTGCCCTGCCCTCCCCTGGCTTCACTGCTCCTACTCACCGATGGCACCCAGAGTGACGAGCGGGTTCTGCCGCGGGCTGATGTGCTTGTCATAGGGCCGGTTTCCGTACATGTGGGCGACGCTGTTGACCAGCCAGGTGCCATTGAGGGCAACGGCGTAACGAAGGATGGCGGCCAAGAAGTAGGAATTCCACAGGCTCTCTCCCCAGATGTACCAGGGCACCAGCGTGGGGACCACGAAACACATGAGCACCACGGAGACCTTGTAGTGCCTGGGAGGTGGACATTTGTCACCACTGTGCACACAGTGACGAAGGAGGGGATTTGCTGAGCGAGTTAGGGGAAAGGTAAAGAGGGCCAACCAGGGGTTTATGCCATTCAACTTCTTCACGTCTTTCTGTGTAAGGAGAACTGCATTTGTGTCCCTCTGTGCAGACAGATGCCCACACACACCTACAAAGCCCAGGCAGGACTCCAGGTTTGAGAGCTGGGCCAGGCAGACAGTTGTAGGAAGTGTTAAGCCCTGTGGCACAGGTAAGGAGAATTTCCATGTAAAATAAACATTGTGCTACCAAACCTGTGTCTCTGAGAGAGTCATTTGTCCTCCAGGTCATCAGTTTAAGATGGGTCCTAGAGAGTGTTTTCCTCAGCCAGTCAACCTCAAAGCAGATCTTCTCCTTTTAAAAAATTGGAAATTTTTATTGGTCCAAGTCTGCAGTACATGAAGATCATGCCCGCTGTGGGAGGTGGTACGCGTACTTAATCCATCTTAATTCTTTTTTACCCTCTTCCCCCTCTTCTCTTCCTTTTCCCTCCATCTCTTGGTCCCCTTCTCTTTGCCAAAGATCTATCTCCCTATTTCCTGCTACTTTTCTTTTCCTCTTTATTGCTCCACTCACTGAGCTTAGTAAAAAAAAAAAAAAAAAAGACAATTTTCCATTTTCAGAAAAATGTTCTCTGCCCCTCAGAGACTGCATTCCAAAGCAACAAACAACAAACCAAACCAAACCAATATAGACACAGGTGTGGCCACATAAAAAGTAATGCTTAAAAAGCAAACTGTTGCTAGTTAGATTTCCAGCCAGTATAGGTGGCAAACACTTTCTGAGAACCCTCCACATGGGAGAACTGTTCATAGTCCTGATACGTGTCGATTCATTTAAAACTTTCCTAGGAAGGGATCAATATCATTCCCATTTTATTTATTTTTTGTCTTTTTGAGGCAGGGTCTTGCTATGCAGTTCTGGCAGCTGTGAGGTCACTTTGTAGCCCAGGCTGGCCTCGAACTCACTGTGATGCTCCTGCCTCAGCCTCCCAAGTGTGAGGATTACAGGTGTGAGCCACCATGCCTGGCCTCACTGCCATTTTAGAGATGAAATAGAGAATGGTTACACAGCTGATCTGAAATAACAAGACTAATAAGGGGTAAGAACCAAAATTCAAAATCAGGTAGCATCCATTCTGCTTCCCTGCTTTACAAACAAAACCACACGTATCTAAGTGTGCTTTGTAGCTCATTAGCTATACAGAAGTGTCGGTTCCTATAATTACAAGTTTGGGGCAACATATTGTTTTCATTGGGCAACATATTAATCCATCAGGCACTGAGATAGAGGATGGCTGCATGTTAGTGGGTAGTGGGCACCCAAGAAGTCAGAGGAGGGGCTGAGTGGTGGTCTTAGAGGGGTCCCCAGGGCCACACACAGAGCCCTTTGGGAGGCATCCTGAGACATTCTCACATCCGGAAAGAGCCACAGCTGGGACTGGAGCAGGCTGCAAAAGGTGTGGGACCGGCAGGTGAGCACCCAGCCATGTAGCAGTCCTAGGCCTGGAGATAGGGTGCGTGCATGAGAGGGCAGGGACTCTAAGGAAGGGGGACAGGGTGCTTAGAGCCTCTTTTCTCCCCGTGGAGAAAAGAAAGCAGCTTCATGTGGCTGCAAGAGGCCAAATGCCACTCCAGGCTCCTTCCCCTCCTTTTACTCTGGTCACAACTGAGCCTTTCCATGCAGCCTCTCTTAGTCCTGCTCTGAGTCCTGGTCCTGACCCTTATGTGGCTCCTGAGAAGAAGATGACAGAAAGCATCTGCACCAAAAGCTGGCTCCATGCCTGCCAGAGGGCTCAGTGTGCCATGGCTCTACTCGGCCTAATCCTCCAGCTGACTCAGGGTAGAGTCCAGCCATCGAAGCCCTAAGGTGGGCAATGCCATGGTTTCCAGGGAGGACTGAGGTCCCGTTCCAGCTGCCTGCCCTGCCCAAACCTGGTGATGGCCTTCTCCACATAATCATGGGCCTAGACTTGGCTTCCATCCCAGTTGTGTTGTCTCCTCCCTCAGGACTGTCTGGTAGCCACCTGCTGGCCTTGGTAACATTTTGTTTTGTTTTCTTTTGATTTTGTTTTGAGACAGGGCCTCACTGTGTACCCAGGCTGGTTTGGAATTCACTGTATAATCCAGGCTTGTAATCCTCCTGCCTCAGCCCCCCAGTGCTGAGAGGACAGGCATGTACCACCACATTCTGCAGTCTTAAATAATAGAAACAAGCAGTCTTGAATAATAGAAAAGGGAAAAAATATCACTGTCCTGACTCCAACAAAGTGGCAGGAGGTCAAATTACATCAAAGCTGTCGGGTTGTTCCTCCTGGTGCTTGATAAGAATTCCCCCAGAGAGGGCAGTCAAGCAGGCAAATACCTCAGCAGCTGGTCTTTGTCTCACAGGCTGTGAGACTCCAGCCTCCAATCTAGCACCCCATGGCTTCCTTAATTACCAACCCCAAATTCCCAGTCCGTTAAAGGAAAACCTCCACTGAGTCTCCCAGCACCGAATCTTTCCTTGTGGAGAATACTTCCTTTCTACAACTGGTGGCAGGAGGGGGCTGGAGCAGGGCCATTGCTCTGGCCCTGTCTCTTAGCCAAATGAGGTTTTTATGTTGTAAAGCATCACAGAACATCCAGTTCCCCAACTCGGCCACTTCCTAGCTTCATGACCTTGAGTGGATTATTTAATTGTGCTGAGCCTCCAATTTCTCTTCTGGAAAATGCTGCACTAACAAATTCATTAAGTGCCTACCTCCCAGGCCATGCCCTAGCACTGAGATACAAAATTAACCAAACAAAAGTCACTGCCCTTGAGGAGCAGGGGTACTGTGGCAGAGACTTTCGTATCTGATAGGAAAGGCAGACAGTAAGTTGATATTGTAAAACAAAATATAGGGCCAGCTAGCGGTCAGTACTAAGAAGAAAAGCAAATCGAATGGGAATGACCTCTTACAGGCAGGTATAGCCTCTCAAAGTCCTTCCTGATACCGTGGCTTTTCAATGAAGACTTGGAGGAAGGAGAAATTGGCCATGTGGCTTAGTGAGGCAGAGGAAATCACAAGCATAAAGGCCCCACTTCATTCAGGGAAGAGGAGCAGAACTGGCTGGAAGGGGACAAGATGACAGGAACTGAGTGGAGGGTCTCCTTGGGAGCCGTTGCCATGCATGATCCAGGTCCGAGAGGATGTGGCTTAGACAAGGAGACCTATGGGGGTGGCGGCGTGAGAATGGTCAGATTCGGAATGTGTTTCCCAAGGAGAGTGACTGCATTTGTTCACAGGCTCAGTGTTGCAGAGAGAGAGAGCATTCAGTGATGACACCAAGGGTGGATAAGAGGCAGGATGGCTGAGTGGCAGGTGTAGGGAGTGCAGTCATGGACACCAGCAGTGGGAGATGCCCACCGAACACTCAAATGCAGAGGCCTAATAAGAGACATTGATGTGCAGGTCTGGGGTTCACAAGTGCCAGGAAGAGGCAGGGATGGGAATACAGATCTGGAGCTCGTAAGCATGTTAACGTGCACCACATGCATACATTTTCTCATTTGAATTTCACAACAGCCTCACAAGGTAGTTTTTATTACCTCTCTTTCCCAAGAGCCTTGCAGGGGTCCAGACAGCAATCATCCACACTGGGACAGAGCCACCCTGGAGTCACGCACAGTTCTTACATCCTGGTTATCTGCTGCTCATCCAGCCAATCAAGGGCAGGTCACAAAGATAAACATACCCAGAGATTTGCCACGTACAGTGCACATTTGTGTGAAAATGCTGTCATCTCAAGATCAGAAGTAGACACTGTGTATACTCTAGCTAGACTGGAGCTTCTTTCTGGTTCTTGACTGACATGGAGAAATAGGAACCCTCTGTACCGCTGGAGGAAAGGTAAGATGGTACAGGCAGAACAGAAAATGACAGTAGAAATACCAAGTTACCTTATGATTCAGAAGTTCCACTCTATGCACACACCCTAAAGATGGAGACCAGGGCCTTCAATACATATCTGTACCCTCATGTTTACAGCAGCATTAGTCATGAGCCAAATGGTGAAAATGATCCAGGTCTTTCGGTAGATGAATAAGCAAAATGTTGTCTTAATGCGATACTTCTCAGTCATTAAAAGAAATGAAATTTTGATAGATAACTGTGATCAACATATAAAGTGAATGTTAAACATTTTTGTTACAGTAAAAGACACACTGTCTTTTAAGCCCCCTTAAAATACTTCTCCTTGCTTGCACACACCTGTCCTATCCCCTTCCGCAGCAGTTTGGTGGTCATCTTTCATGATGTCTTCAGTTGTGCAGTTATGGCTCCTTTAACGTCCTGAATCAATTCAAAGCATTTACTTTTACCATAATTACATTTGACAGGAGTGATGTATGTAGAAAGAGCCTAAGAAATAGGCCACCATCATGACAACACTGTGTCACACACTGTTTGTGATAGGGCAAGTTCTGTTCTCACCCTCACCCAGGTACCCACCAGCTCTGGCACCATGCAACTCCTGGTTCTTTCAAGTCAAAATGACAACGAAAGGTACATGTTTTGAGTTGGTTTAGGTCGTCAAGGCAGCTCTGACAACACAGCTAAAGGCATTCATGAGAAAAGACCTCCAGAACTGCTTCAGAAAGTGGCCAGAGTGCGGGGATAAGTGTTCTAAGCAAGGGAGAGTGTTTGATGGGGATTGATGGCAATGTATCTTTTACTGAAATAATTTTTTAAATGTAAATATTCACCTCATTTTTTTTTATCATACCCCATATACTACAGCATGGAAAGGCTTTGAAAACGTTATGATGAATGAAATAAACTGGACACAGAAGGACAATTACTATATGATTCCACGTATATGATGCAACTACAATAGGTCTTTCAGAGACAGAAATGAAGATGAAGGTCACCACCACGGGAAGGAGCGGTAGAAGGGAAGCTGTTGTTTAATAGATATGAGGGGTTT